GTTTAGGGCTTAGGATTTAGGGGAAGGGTGCTGTTTTGCTTTGTTCGTGGGACCTTTTCTCCAGAGGGTTTAGGGTTAAGGGTTTCAGTTTGTGGGCTTAGGGATTTATGAGGATTGAAGCGGGTACATTGGGATGAGGGGTCGATGGGATGTGGGGGATTGGGGGTTGCCTTAGGTCCGTTCGAAGCGGCTTATATAAAGGCGTATAGAAGGGAGTATAGGCTACAGTATAGGGTTCTTTTAGAAGGGCTCTCATGGGATATGAGGGAATTTCCGCGGGTTCAGGAAAAGGGAAAAAATCAAAACAAATATCGGGTGTTGTGGGTTTAGGTTTTTGGGGCTGTGAATGACTGGACTTTACGTTTGGGCAGAGCAAAAGGGCTGTAACCATAGGGGAAGTCGCTCTCATGGGGTTATGGTCCCCCTTTAGTAGGGAGAATATGGCTTTGGGCATATTATAATACGATCCCTATATACCCCATATTCTATCTACTTCAGGCGGACTATATGGTCGCTAAACCCTAAACCCTGCACCCTTGGTCTGTAGAAAAAACTCAAATGAGTAGCGTTTTTGCCGTGGTTAAACCCAGTAAGATTATGTTCCTTACATAAGATACTATACCCCAAAAGGAGGATAGAATCTTACTCTATATTGGATACCGTAGTATCCACAAATAAAAGTTCTAGAGCTATAATATAATATGACCCCTACATAATCCCAGCTTCCATTTCATTTTCCATGTTCTTTTCCATTTGATTCTCCATTATTGGGTACCATACTATCCCCAAATAAAACACTACTCAAATCCATCCCTGGGGCATTGTTTCGCCGAGGCCCGGCCGCAGGCACTGTCTCAGGAAGATGAAGAGACCTGGCGCATTTTATCCATAGGGAGACCCTAAACTCTACAGGGTGTAGGGTTTTCTTTTTTGGTGGGTTGAGGGTTTAGGCTTTAGGGAAAATAAATCTAAACTTTCTATTGCCCTCATCATAGAAAAGAGGTCCCCTGAACCCTAAACCCTAAACAGCGTGCCGACACCTGTTCTCCCAAGGTAAGGCGTGATCTGCTTCAGCGACCGGTAAGACTGGGTGCCGACTACAACGGCGCACAGAAGGGTGACTGCCGCCCGCACCCTCTTGTCTGGAACCAACACCTGGACCACGGAGAGAGTTGAAGATACCAGTGTCATCCTGGGTTGCTGTTAAGGAACTTAATCTAAGTTACTATATTGGGGAAACCCTATTATTAACTATATATGTATATATATATATATGTATATGATATACCCTGTGTGGTAACTTAATTTAAGGTCCTTAAGAGCAACCCAGCATCACCACAGCCACCCGCGAGACGGAAGGATGCTTCCGGAATTGACTCAACGTCACCCTGCAGCAGCCTGCTCCAGCCCTAAACCCTAATACCCCCAAACCCTAAAACACCTGAACCCTAAAACCCCTAAACCCTAAAACCCTAACGCCCTAAACCCCGCAGCAGCCTGCTCCTGGAATCCGCTCTTCGGGAAGCCAGCCCAGCATCACTGGGACCACAAGGCAAACCTGGGTTTGGGGGTTTTAGGGTGTTACGGTTTAGGGTTGAGGGTTGAGGGTTGTATCTGTTTAAGGGTTTTAGGATTTACGGCTTGAGTAAATCTTTTGGTTTAGCGCTGTTAAGGAGCTTAACTCCAGGGGCTCATACTACCTCAAAAACGGAGAATCAAATGCAAAAGAAAATGGAAATAGAATTCAAACTAGAACAGTGGTACATACATACGTACGTACATGCATACATACATATATACATAAGTACATACCTGGATGAATGATACAGCGAATTCGGAAGTATAGGGCTGAAGGAAAGGTACAAAATTTAGGGTTTTAGCTTAACTGCCCAAAGCAGCACAGCATCTTTTTGCTATACATCCCAAATATGGCAAACCCTAAACCCTAAACCCACGTTTAAAAAAAAATCTGACACCAACCCAGGAACCGAGCCTACCGTCATGCAAAGCAGCACAGTCTGCGGAGAAGTCAATTCAATCAACGATCCCTTCACCTGGGTTGCCGTTAAGGAACTTAATTTAAGTTACTATATTGGGGAATCCCTATTATTTACTGTCTATGTATATGGGTGGTTGTCAAAATTATGCTCCCTTTTGGGGTATCCTGAATATTAGGTGCCGTATTATAATAGGGACCCAAAAAGGGACCATAATTTTGACAACCACCCATATTATGGTAACTTAATCTAAGTTCCTTGGCAGCAACCCAGTCACAAGGGAGGACATGAAACCAAAAAGGGCTGCAGTGCCCCACATCAAGCTCTGCAAGTCGGAGGCGTGTTGCGGCTTGTCCTGGGTTGCTGTTGAGGAACTTAAGTTAAGGTATATGGTAAATTATTGGGTTTCCTTATTGTAGACACTGTAAACCCTAAACCCTAAACCCAAATTTTAATTTAAGTTCCTTAACAACACCACAGTTTCGCGTGACAGTTCTGCTGCCTTGCCATCCACGATCACATCCGTGGTGGACGTGGCAAAGCAAATAGACATCTTCACCTCTAGTCTCCTTAGACCTATAACAAAACGAGTATTTTGAATAATTGCCTAGGGTTGTCATACCCTAAACCCTAAACCCTGAACCCTAAACCCAATAAACATTAAAAAAAAATCCTAAGGAGACTGCAGTTCACCACCACAAAGGCCCCGATGGGCAGAACCATGGTCCCCAACAAAATGTAGGAGACCAGCCCCAGGAGGGCAGACAGGATGACCTTAATCTGCTCCCCGGTTTGGGGCTTAGGGGGTTTAGGGTTTAGGGTTTAGGGAGCTTACCTAAATCTGCTCCGGTTTGGGCTTAATGTAGACCCATGATTAATGAACCCCCTCCCCTCAATGTGAGTTATAATGGGGATCCTGATATTAAGGCCCTTAAAAGGAAGCGGTTTATTAATCACAGGTCTACATTAGGAGGATCCAAAATTTCAGGTTTAGAGAGCCTGTTAGGGGAGTTCTCAATAACTCAAACAACGTGGCACTTAGGATCCCTACTAAGGGATAACCCCTAGGTACCTATAATAGGAATATAAGGGAATCCCAAAGAGTTAAGGGTCTAACGTCCAGGCTAAGTCCCAAGGAGTCAAACAGAAAAAGGGATTGTCACTCACTAAACCCTAAACCCTAAACCGTATAAACCCTAAACCCTAAACCTTATAAACCCTAAACCCTAAACTTCATAAACCCTAAACCCCAAACCTTATAAACCCTAAACCCTAAACCTTATAAACCCTAAACCTTAAAAACCCTAAACCTTATAAACCCTAAACCTTAAACCCTAAACGGTGTTACTGACATCCTTTTCAAACCCCAGGTCCTAAACTGTTAAGCCTAGCAACGTAGGTTCTCCGGTGGTAGCCAAAGAGAGCAACGCCATCAGAGAGCATGCCTTAGGTATCAGGTACTTTAGGGTTTAGAGCTTAGGGTTTAGGGTTTAGGGTTTAGGGTTTAGGGCTTAGGGTTTAGGGTTTAGGGTTTAGGGCTTAAGCTCCACATAGGGGTTTTATGGCTTGCATAGGGTTCAGGATCTAGGGCTCTATGCGTTATGTCTCTGTAATCCCTTAAGGGGCTTCTATGGGATTTACGGGATAAGGCTTTAGATTTTAGGGTTTCCAAACGTTGCTTTGGAAGATAAAAAGTGGTGGAGGAGAGAATGCAAGCTAGTACTTTATTCATTTCGGGTTTGGAGCTTAGGGTTTAGGCTACCGAGCATAATGGAGAACCTATTGAAAAAGAGAACGGAAGAGGAAATGGAAAACCATTGAAAATTTATGTTGGTTGAATGTAGGGATGCTGTTACTTGGAGGGCTCGGGGGACTTTATAAATAGGTTTCTAATGGAGTTAACTGGAGCTATTCTATGGCTTCTCTGCCGACCCCGTCCTGGGTGCGGCGCCCTGCGGGCCTAATGTAGACCCCTGATTAATAAACCCCCGCCTTTTAAGGACCTGAATATTAGGATCCCCTATTAAGTGGAGGGGATTTATTAATCATGGGTCTGGGTCACCCCATTCCCAAGCCTCCATTTTCTCTTCAGTGGCTTCCAATTCCGTTGGAAAGTCTGTGTGCCGGACAGGGCGCCAGCTCTCCGCCGGGTTTAGGGTTTAGGATTTAGGGTTGAGGGTTTAGGATTTAGGATTTAGGGTTTAGGATTTAGGGTTTAGGATTTTGGGTTTCGGGTTACCCTTACTAAGCCCTAAGGGTTCCCCCCCGGGCACTTCCCGGCCGCTTCAAAGGGAGCCTCCCACTTCCAAGGGATCGGGACCTGAATGTAGCCCATGACTTCAGCACCCACTTTGCCATATATAAACCCTAAACTTAATAAGGGTAACCCTAAACCCTAAACCCTTGCCCCAATAAGGGTTATATAGGGTTTAGGGCCTAAACCCTATATAACCCTTATTGGGGCAAGGGTT